GCAAAAGCGGCCCCGTTTTTTGTAAAAAAATTTTTTGCATGCATATTCTTATGGAGGCTTATAGAGTGCTGCTGGGGGTTGGGGGGGGGGGCAAAAACGGCCCGTTGTTTGCTTATTTCTGTCCTCCCCAGCCCCCAGGAACTCTTTGAAAGTCTCCATAAGGCTATGCACAGCCATTTTGCTGAAGGGGGCAGGGCTTCAGGAGGCAAAAAATGCTGTATTCAATGTATAAGATGCACCCAGATTTTCAGCCTCTTTTTTGAGGAAAAAAGGTGCGTCTTATACTCTGAAAAATATGGTAATTCCTCCTCATTCACCCCCTTGTAAGGAATTGGATGAACCAAAATAATCATACACTTAGTATATGTCGTGTTTGGAATGAATGTATACTACTACATATTCTAAATAAGATTGGGACACATCACTTCCTCAGCATCTTCTGCTCATAACTAGTTAAAGACTGGTTGCATATGCAGCCATATTTTTCTCCCATGACAAGAATAATTTATGAATGGAGATAAAAAAACATTTGGATCAGCCCTAAGGCTAAAAACGTGGTGTTAGAAAACTTTGCTAAGTATTATAAAGGAAGCACAAATGGAGCCATCAGTGTTTTCTATTTGACAGCATTTGTGTTGCCAGATGTTTTGGGGAAATATTTGTTATTCACTATAATGTTTTGGAGGTGGTGGTGGGCTTTTTATTTTTCTTCTTCAGAATTCAAGTGTAATCAAAATAATGTAAGGAGATCTACTTTTGGCTTCCCTACTACCTCCCAATCTTTCCTTGATTTGAATTTGACTTGTGTTTATTTCCAATTCATCGAAAGGCAGATAGCCAGATAGTCTTGCTTCGTTGTGTATTATAATATTGATACACATTCTTGCTGATAGTCACCACTTTTTGTTTGTTCTTTATAGATCAACTGGTATGGCAGGCTGCCCGTTCCAGTGGAGCTGCTCCAACATATTTTCGACCCGTAGGGCGGTTTCTGGACGGAGGGCTGCTAGCCAACAACCCCACTCTGGATGCCATAACTGAGATCAATGAATACAATAAGTCTTTAATCCAGCAAGTACGGATTTATTGTGCAAGAATACTTATTAAAGACAAATTCTAATCTGCACATGCAATTTTCTAAAATGTCTTAAGAGTGAACCATTCTGCCCCCCTTCCCCAAGAGACAGTATTTTCTCTTTAAAAAAGAGATTTCTAAGGAATTCAGAAAGTGATGAATGTCCCTGGTTGACTAAAAGGTGAAATGTTTCAGTTGGTTTTGTTTAGCTGTGGGGCAAGAAGAGCATAAAGTGGCACTGCTGGAAATTAGGTATTTTGCTGCCAAATTTGACAGTACAATTTATGGGTACTCCAGATCACTACCATGTTTTCCCGAAAATAAGACAGGGCCTTATTTTCTTTTGACCCCTCAAATAAGCGCTTGGCCTTATTTTCGGGGAGGTCTTATTATTTTTGAGGTGCAGGAGACTGTGAGCATGGTCACCTCATGGCTGCTGCTGTGTTGCAATATTTTGGGGGGAGGGATTATTTTAGCACATGTGCTCAAAAGCCTGATTGGGCTAATTATCCGGGGAGGGCTTATTTTCGGGGAAACAAGGTAATGGGATCTAAAAGTATCCGGCAAACAACATAATTAGAACATTTTTATCACATCCCGTCAACCAATTTCTAACAGAAGCCACATCATATAGCCAGCACTTAAGTTTTACTGCTCTTTTTGGTTGTTATCTTTTGTTTTAAAGTTTGATCCAAGTAGAGAAAGATGGTAATTAGGCAAAATTAGGTATGCAAAATTAAAAGCCTGCAGGTCAATTTCTGGCAAAACATCATGGAGGGAGTGACATGTTTTAATGGAAAAATAAACAAGTGCCAGCACACCTCTTGTATTTGTGCTCTGATAAGATTTTTGTAGGAAAACAAACAATTCCTAAAGATATATGTTCCTAAGCTTCTTAGGGTTATTTCCATACTAAGAAAAGTTAGGTGCTTTTGATCTGTGATTCATGGCATGCAACTTTGGTTGCTGCTGATTGGAGCATCTGAAGTTTTAAAAAAAAAGTGTGCAAAACTAGCCAGAGCATTTTGCATTAATCTGTTCAGCTAAACTAACTAAAGCAATGATTGTCAAGTCTTTACAAAAAATGGGTTGGCAAGGACTATATCATACAAGGAAAGAAAAGATTTCCTGAAGGTTTCCCAGGAAGGAAGTTTTATAAAATTTAGCAAGATTTGCACCGTAACTCTTCTTTTAATAATGCCAAGGCAACACAAGTATCAAACCCTGATTTGTAACTAAATACACCTTCAAGCTTTGTGTAAATTCAGAATAAATGTGTAAGACATCAAAGCGCTATAAAGCTACCAATCAAGTTTAAAACAACTCATTTGCTAAATCTCCATACCTGTTTGAAGAATGGAAAAAAGTAAACCAGAATAATATTCCCAAAACCTATTTCACATGGACAATTCACATGCTTCTTTTGTGCTAAATTCAAGCAACATATGTGAAGATGTTGGTAAGACTCCTATCCCCTTTATCAGTAGTGGGTTCCGGATCCCGTTGCAACCGGTACGCTGTGACGGGGCCGGGCGTGCTCCTTAGGCACGCACACTGTGCACACATGCGCACGGCACCGCCCAGTGACACTCAGCTGCTCAGTGGAGGTCACGCAGGTGCTGCATGCTGTGTACGCATGCGCAATTGGCCCGTTTGCATAAAAAAGTGGTAAGGAACCCAGGCGGGCAGGTGGGCCAAACGAGCCACACTTCCGGTACGGTGGCCTCTGCTCCCAGCTATCACCGGTACACCCGTACTGGCCCGTACTGTCCGGAACCCACTACTGTCCTTTATCCTTGGAGGCTTAAAGTACTTGCTTAGTTTTCTTTCCATCTCTCCAGGGAGAAGGTGACAAAGTGAAGAGGTTGGGAGTCGTCGTCTCTCTTGGAACAGGCAGAACAGCAAAAGTGCCTGTGAGCTCTGTGGACGTCTTTCGTCCCTCTAACCCTTGGGAACTGGCCAAGACTGTCTATGGGGCTAAAGAACTAGGCAGGCTGGTGGTGGACTGTGTGAGTATGAGATAGAGAGTAGGCGTCATGATACCAGATCCAAGAGGTGAAGATTTCTACATTTTGCATATAAAAGGAATGTTTTGATAGTTTGTAATATGATAGCAATTCAAACGCCTGATAAAGACGAAGAAAATACTTTCTCCAGGGAGATGCTAACAAATGTTGAGGGAGATAAATATATGCCTGTGAGATGCTTATCTAAGTTTCTTTCATACCTATGCTTCAATATTTTTGCCTAATCCATTCTTGCCCATACCTTACTGTCATTTGAAATTAACATTGCTGCTTCCTGAGTTACTTCTTGGTTTCTTCAATGATTAGATGTGCTGTAAATTACTTATAATCTAATAACAGAGGAGATCATTTGTAGCTCAGGGTTGAAATGAAGGGTCCTTGGTGTTCTCTAGGCTTGGTTGTTTTCTTGCAGATTTAATTACGCAAACTAGGTAACATCATCAGTGCTAGTAAGGAATAGGGTTTGCTCTCATTGAATGGCATGTAGATATTGTTTATGTGCCCATTGATGGTCAACTTGTCAGAATGCCAGGCTTCCAGGAATTCCCTAGATTTGACTTGGCTTAGGATGGCCACAGTTTTCCAAATGAAATGTGATGTAATGAAATGTCTGCAAGAAAACAATAAACTCAGAGACCCTCAAGGTTCACTCAGTATACTGTTCCTAAACATTTTATAATCTTTTTAAACAGTCTATCTGATCCACAGAAGATACTCATTTTTAGTTTCTTAACAGATTCCCTTGTTTTTTGTCCAACTGATGAAAGTGTTTTTCACATATTTTTAGAAATTTAGGAACAGAATATTTGCATGAGATAAGCTTGGTTTATTATATACAATGTCTTACAGAGGTGAGCGTTTTTATCAAGAACCAAATACTCTCCTTTATTNCTGGGAACAGGCTCCAGCTGTTTGTCTGCCTCACTGATGTCTGACGCTGAAGGCAGCTGATAACTGGCATACGACTGGCCCCCTCTCTGCCTCTGACACACAGGCCTCATCGGAGCCTTCCTCAGATTCTAGGACTGTCCCATGTTCCTCCCCAACCTCCTCGCTGTCCGAATCTGCTGCCAGCTCCAGTGGTGTGCCACAACACTACAAAGTTATTATACCACTTTATGACACATAGAAGAATGATAATAGACACTAAGCTGTCTTGGTTAGGTAAATGATCCATCTTCTTTCTAGTAAAGGTATTTTTCATCAAGTACTACCTGATCTCCTTTAATTAGCAGCTGAGTCACTCACTTTCTGCCTGGAGATCAAAAGTGTTGCTATTGCACACTAGTCCCTGAATTAAATCAAGTTGAAATTTTGTTTTGTTCAACTTTTTACAGGGTCATGTTGACAGCAACACTATGCGACCGACAGCCCGCTGAGCTCCATTTGTTCAGGAATTACAATCCACCAGAAGGAAGAAAGAAATCCCGTTTCAGAATGATGGGCTCATTTCTACCAATGACCAAGCCAGAAGGTAAATACAGGTAGTCCTTGACCTATGTCCACAATTGAGCCCCAAATTTCTGTTGTCGAGCAAGACAGATGTTAAGTGAATTTTGCACCATTTTACGACCTTTCTTACCACAATGGTTAAAGGAATCATTGCAGTCATTAAGTTAGTAAAACAGGGGGGTGTTAACTGAATCTGGCGCTCTCCCATTCTCTTTGCTTGTCAGAAGGTTGCAAAATGTAACCCCGGGACACTGCAACCATCATAAATATGAATCAGTTGTCAAGTATCTGAATTTTGACCATGTGATTATAGGGATGCTGTGAAGGTCATGTGAGAAAAGTTACTTTTTATCCTGTTGTAACTTTGAACAGTCACTAAATGAACTGTTGTAAGTTGAGGATTATCTGTACCTATTCCCACCGACCAGGGATATAAATTGCACTGGTGAGGGGGGAGTGGGGAGTGGGGGGAGGAACGTGTAAGGCTGTAAAGCTTGTTGGCTGAAGAATTCTGGGAGTTGAAGTCCACAAGTCTTAAGTTGCCACAGTTGGGGACACCTGCTTTAAATGAATACATGCCGTATTTTTTGAGTATAAGACGCACTGGAGTATAAGACGCACCAAGGTTTTGAAGAGGCAATTTTTTTTTTAAAGTAGGTAGGTAGGTGGAGGGATAGAGAGGGAGAGAAAGTGAGTTTTTGCACTATGCAAACTTCCCCAAAACAGTCCGTTTCGCAAAAGCGGCCCCGTTTTTTGTAAAAAAATTTTTTGCATGCCATTTCTTATGGGGGGTTATAGGGGGCTGGTGGGGGTTGGGGGGGGGGGCAAAAACGGCCCGTTGTTTGCTTATTTCTGTCCTCCCCAGCCCCCA